AGAATCATCTGAGCCAAATTTGGCGTGTGTGCTTTTACTTTGGGCACTTTGGGGCTCATGGGTCTTAGTGTAAATCCTGTTCCTCTCCTGTCATGGTGGTGGCCTGCTTGGACCAGTTCAGTTTGAACTCCAGTTTACCTTGTTATCATGTGTGCTTTGGAAGTTCATAGGATTGCTTCCTATTCCTTCACATGATGCGCTGCTGCACTCATGTGCTAAGCAGCTGGCACTTAAACTGGATTCTCCATCTGAAAGCAACTGTTATCTATTTCTTCTCCATTTGGCTGCAGAGATGTTGTGTTTTGGTAATTTGTTCACTGAAGCTGTGCTAGACTGCCCTGTGCTTGCTGAGCATTTGTTAATACTCTCCGGACTTCAGTCCTAAGCCTTAAGAATTTGGCTGCTGGTGCTTTCATGCTTCTCAATGTAGATAAACCTTCTTTTGATGTGAAATTCTTTCTGCTAAGACCTTCACACAGTCCATGGAAATGCTGATTCTCACTTCCTCATTATGTGGACTCTTCTCCCACATTTTCTATGTTCTCAAACATCCTCCCATTTTGCATTCTTTAGTTTGACCCTCCAATATACTTTTTTGTCAGTTAAAGCTATATTCACTTGGTAAGGCTTTCTGATTCTGGCAGTGAATTTGGATATTGGGACTATCTATGTGGAAGATGTCATGTATTAAAATAATTCTACTTTGAGCTCCTTACCTTCTTTTCCTGCAGGGCTAAATGCACTCTGGAATTCAATAGGCAACTAAAATCTACTATTCTTAAACGTTTCCCAGCTGTGCCATAAGCTTGGCAGGAACCTGAAATTACATTAGATACATTTTTTTACTGACAGTGGCTCTGATAAACATCCTAAGCTTTGTGAAACTTGTGTAGCGAAGTCCCAGTATTCTGTAGCGATGCCCTCTCCTTGACCCTGAACTCTGTTAACTTTGCTGTTTTACCAGTAACACAAGCTTTTGGTGGCAAGTTTTATCCATCTGCATCCTCTCAGCATCAAAGTACCAGGCTATTTGAATCTTTCATCGAGGTGGGCACTCAGCTGAGGTTACCTGATGAAGGCTGGAGTGAGCAGGATCTCTGTACAGCAGTTAAGCTGCCTGCAGTCATGGCATAAAGGCTAATGGATATATTTCAGGATATATAACAGATATATTTCTATTTACCTAGAAATACATAACAGGATTGCAAGCCAGGAATGTATTTTCCATGTTTGCTGTGCAGATTCATTTAGTAGAGTCCTGTCTCAGGACAGTACGGCTATCTTGATTTGAATTTCTGCTGTGACAGGTTTTATTGCTGCGGGTGTCAACGTAAAACAGTAGCCTCAGTATTTAAACTTTGACCCTTTTAGGAGTTTGGCCCTGCACTGATGGCTTGGAAACACAGCAATGATTTTCCTTGCCCCTTGTCTCAGAAGTGCCCTGGAAACGCTGCTCTTTGGCCAAGAGGAAAACTGATTTGGGGCCTTCAAAACACTATAACAATGTTCAGGAGAATTAGCATGTCCGTCAGTGCTACAAGTTAACATCTTTTTAGATGAGCAGCTGTCTTGTCTGGAGAGGCTTTTCATATTGGCTACTGTCTTGCTCTTTGTTGTTAAAAGAAAAATAATCTGCATTGCATCCTACAGAAAGGTAGTTTAATTCCAGCGTGGATTGAAAATAATGCAAAGTTGGGGCACTCTGTGAATACTAATGGTATATAGTTGCTTCTTTGTTGTTTTATTGTTAACTATTAAGCAATCCTCATCTGGGAGAGATAGGAGCCTGAGAAGCTGAGTGATTACTTCATGGTCTGTAGCCGTGTTTAATGGAAACTCGAGCTATTTGCAATTGCAAACAAGGGGTGAAAACCTAGATACCTAAGATTAATATTGCAAACAGGAAAGAAATAGTACAAGGGATGGAGCATCTGGGAAAGATCAAACCTGATAAGAATCTGTTCTGTAGGAGGCAGAGAGGCCACCTGCAGGCAGTTTCCTTCAACAGCCAAGAATGCATGGAATGGCCTTTAGGTTCTTGTTTGTAAACTGGAACAACTGATTGTTCAGCTTTGATGCTGAATTTTGAATTTTGTCATGTCTGGAAGAACCAGACTGGTCAGATATATGTCAAGTGAAAACAAGATTGGCAGTTGGTTGTTTTGAAAGTTTCTCTGTTGACAGGCTGAGTTCAGTGTGATGAAACTGGAGCAAAACCCAGAACTTGGTAGTGGGCATGCTGGTTCCTTTGTAGGTCTCATGCATAAATTCATTCTGATTTGGAAGGCAAAACAGGCCACTCCTTTTTCAGTCATCCAGGGGACTATAGATTATCTTTTGATGTACTCAATCCTGGAAATTGTCCAGGGGAAACATGCCATCTCCCCTTTGGCAGAATCATGGATTGTCTGTTTATTCTTTACCAGCAATCTCAGACCTTTTCACCAAGGCTATATAAGGAACAAAATTCTGGACTTTGCGTAGGCCCTGCCATAAGCTTTTATGCAATTCCGGAGAAAGTTGTTTAAGCTACGTGGTTCCTGACTTGTCAGGTCTGGAAATCAGTGCCCAGGAGCCTGAGATGAGTGTGTGGCCACACACAGCGTGGCATGAACATGGTGCTGTACTGAATGCTACAAAGGCCTGCCTTGATAAAGCTTGCAGTCAAATTCTGGCCCTCAGACCATCCACTCTGGCTTGAAATGCAGCCTCTCAATTAACTGAAGATAGCACCTGTTCTGAATTTAGCATAGAGCTGTGTTCTGTAAAGATCTTTTGTCTTTCTGACCATTCTCTTTCATCACTATAAAACTCAACAGATTCTCAAATGCTTCTTGGTGCTCTGTGCAGGCAGAGCACCCTTTGTCCTCCAGACAGAGACATACGAGTTGCTCAAGACCAATGGGAAGAGTCACAATGTGCCGTATTCCTTGCCCAGGACTTTGTATCCTGCACTTAGTTTTATAGACAGCTTAAGTACATTAGACCCAGCCCTAAAGCTCATAGCAACCTACCAAGAAACTCTGGGCTAGGCAGAGAGTGGGCTACCATGGGATATGCAATGTGATGTTGGTCTTGTGGCCTGGCTGTGACTGTATCTGGTTGTTCCAGATGAGCCTTGCATCACTCTCTCCTAGTCCTGCATTCTGGGTCATTCGTCCTCCCTAATTGCCCCTTATCTCCGCATGTGTATGTCAATGTATGGCCTATGCCACCCTTTTCCTGGTCTGTACCTAGTGCTGCCTCAGTGTCCTTAGCTTTTGTAGAATTTCTGGCTTGTGCGCATCAGTAAATTCTGTCTCTTGTGTTGTCTGGTGAGTGACTTGAATATGGGACTTGTGAGGAGAAAATAAAAGTGAACAAGTAACAAGAGAATCTGTTCTTCTGGCCAAGATGGGGGTAAAAGAGGGTTAGCGGCATCTTAATGTCATGGCTGATATGTGTGAGTTCTCTGGCTGCAATTTGCAGCACCAAGTGCTCACCTGTTACTAACAGGCAGTGTTCCCAGAAATAAGGTTTGCTGTTCCGAGATCTCAGTTGCTCAATGGCAAGTGTAGCCAAGCAGTAGTTGAGGGCCAGAGCCTATGCAAAGGTAAGAAAATGGCTGCATGCTCTGAATGTTGTAAATGCACATGGGGAAAAGGATTTATTTTGAGAGGAATGATGTATTGAAGGTCTGGCCTGCATAAATATCGATCTTTGCTGCTTTTCTGTGCTGTGGTCTGTATGAGATAGTTGTGCCATAGGGGAGGAAGGAGTGTGTTGTTGAGTATAACCTCAATAGCCTCTTACACTGTTCCACTCTCTTTCTGTTTGACAAGAAAACACAGCTTTCAGAACAGGGTGAGTAGCTAAAAAGATGGGATGACTTTAGTCTTTAACCCTTCACTCTAAAGGAACCAGTTCATCTCCACTGCTGCTAAAAAGCAAGTCATCCTTGTAGAAATGGATGTGTCTGGGAGAAAGAATCAGACTTTCCCTCAAACTCTGTATGTTCTTACTTATCTAAATTTCTAATTCCGCGAGCATGTTTGCTAAGCTTGGCCATGCGCATCTGCTTGGGTTTTGTTCATGGGACCGAGATCTCTGCTGTCAGAAGTCCACTGACGTTTAAGACTTGCTTTGGGGAAAACTTAGCTTGTTGTCTGAAGCCTCAAGTGGTGGCTGGGAGTGTCCTCCCTGAGATGAGAGTGCTTAATTTGGCTCCAGTGTAATGGGGGCTGTTTTCTGCTTGTCTTTTACAAAGAATGCTTTGTTGTGCCGCACTTTGCAGCTCCTTCTGGCTCAGGCTGGGAAAATATCTCTGTGGATGGAAAAATCTAGGAAGCAATGAAGAGTTTACTTTACAATCTCCTTGGAGAATCCAGCAGCCCTATTTGGTCCATCTGTAGAAGAGGCTTATGATGATGCTTTTTCCTCATCTCTAGGATGTGACTGGGACTGCTCTTTCTCTAGGAATTTCTTGGTTTCCAGAGTATGAAATGGCTTGTATTTTGTGTGCAGGACTAAGCTTCAGGTGAAGCAAGAAACAGATGCACCAGACTCTAAGCAGTTAATCTGGGACTATGTGCAGGATGGAAGGAGTGGTTATTGTGCCTATGAGGGGCAGTTTTCCCTGTGCCTCCCTGGATATATGCATCAGGAACAGTGCCCAGGGACAGTTTTGCAGGTTTAATGCTCTGAGCACTCTGCTTTGTACTTGCCTCCATCTCTATGTGCCCCGAGGCATCCTGGCTTCCAGTGTTTTTCTCCTTTCAGGGCTGGAACAGGGATTCTGTTCTCCGTTCTCACTGTTGACTTGCCTGGCCCTTGGTGTTCTGGTTTCTGCTTCCATACTAGTCACATGTAACTGCTGAAAATCAGGTTTAGCTTTGCTGGCAGCTGTGGCAAACCAGCCTTCTACCTTGTTATGGTGGTTTCTTATTCTTTCTTTACCCCTTGCTGCCAAGACCACAATGCAGTCCTTAAACTCTGTGTAATCTCTGGCATTTCATCTGCAGGTGATGACAAATATGGAAGAAAAGTAGTTTTGTTCAGTGCCTGCCGGATGCCCCCAAGTCATCAGCTAGATCACGTGAAACTGCTGGGGTGAGTAGTGTCTTAGTAGGCTGCTGTTAACTTCTTAAACCTGACCTAATTCTTAGGTGCTGGATTCTTGGGGCCAGCTCTATCAGCAGTAGCTTCTTTAGCTGGATATGTCCTCCCATGTGCTTACCTCCATTGCTGGGGATGCAACGAGTCCCAAAGGAAAAACCTTTCTGTGGTAGAGCACGAAGTGAGTTCAGCAGTTGTCTCTTCTCAGGTACCTGAAATTCACACTGGACCAGTATGTGGAGAGTGATTACACACTGGTGTACCTGCACCATGGCCTGACCAGTGAGAACAAGCCATCCCTGAGCTGGCTGCGGGATGCCTACAGGGAATTTGATCGCAAGTGAGTAAGGCTGCAGCAAGCAAGGATATAACGTGCTGTTCTGTAGCCTAACATAGATGATCTTCCCTAGGCTCCCTGTGTAGCTTGGTGATCACAATTTACTATCACTTAATCCCCTGCTTATAGAGGTGGATTGTTCAATGCAGGCTGAATCATGGGATAAAAAGCTCCTTCTGTAGTAACATCCTTCAGGCCAACCCGCAAGCAGCAAAACCAGGACTTGGTGCAAGTGCGTCAGCTCCATGGTGTAATTGTTGCTTCCTGGTGAGGCTACTCACGCTTTTCGGTGAATCTTGGAATACAGCAGAGCATGCCCTTAGGCTGCTGAGTGGCCTGACACAGCTACAAAGCATGGGAGAGCAGAGGCCATGGGTCCTGGGGAGTGGTGAGGCTCAGTGCAAAAGGAACGGAGCAGCCAGGGTGCCTTAATCTTGTGGAAAGGTTGGTTCCTCTGCTTAAAGTGCAGCTCATCGTTACTGGACTTCTCTTGGCAGGTACAAGAAGAACATCAAAGCCTTGTATATTGTGCACCCAACCATGTTCATCAAGACCCTGCTGATTCTCTTTAAGCCTCTGATCAGGTAGGAAGCACTATAGGAGGCTCACCCATATCCTCGCTCTATGGGGGAACAGTGGAGCATTCTCTGTTGGGCACAAGATGAGCCCAGGCTGCCAAGCCTACCCTAGAGTCTCTCACCTTATGCTATCTCCTCCTGTTTCTGAGGTCAGAAATATTCAGACACCAGAAGTACCACTTCAGGAACCTCTACAGAGTTTGTAGCTCTGTGCTGCTCCTTTTCTATCCAACCAAGTAGAAGTGCTGCTAGTAATGGAAAAGGAAGTGAGAACATCAGTCCAAGTTACATTTAATTCATTGTGTTGCTGACTTTGTAACTCTGTAAAATAATTGACACCAAAACTTTCTCAAGGCTACTCTTCTGGAAGAAGAAATCCAGAGTTTTAAGAAGTCTGCTACTGCTAGGGCCTCTAATGTGACTTGGAAAGTCTTAGCATCTCCTGGTAAAATAGGTGGAGTTGGAGAGCTATGTGGGTGATATCTCTGCTGCTTGACCATATGTGTCCCTTTGCCCCGTTGATGTCCCTTGCAGACCCCTGCTCTCCTTTCCTGTAAGAAATCAGTTCTGTTACTGGATTTCCTGATTCCTCACATACCTACCTTTCTCTTGTTTTTCAGCTTTAAATTTGGACGAAAGATTTTTTATGTGAATTACCTTAGTGAGCTGGAGGAGTATGTGAAGCTGGAACAGTTGGGAATCCCAAGCCAAGTGCTGAAGTGAGAATACTGCCTGTCTCCCATTTGCTTCGGGCTCTGTGAGAGGGAACTTTTCTGGAGGAGTGGCAAGAGGAGGAAGAGATTGTTCCACTCAGGCAGTGATTTTGGAGGGAGTGATGACAAATTGCTTTGAAGACTGTTGTTTCTCTCCATACTCCTTCCTGTGTGTCCTTGGCTCCAGTGCCCAGTTCTGTCTTTGGGTTAAAAATCCTCCTCCAGTGGAGCACCAATCCTGCCTCTCCCACTCACCCCTTGGGGACTTTCTGCAAGATGCTGACTTTAACACTGACCTGGAGCTCATGGTGTGCATCTGCTGTGTCTGGACACCTGCTTAGCTCACTCTGCACAGTTCAGCTTGTCTTTGGGGCTTCCCAAAGTTGCCATAATCTCAGTCCTACCAGATTGATTCCCTGTCCCATACACACATTCACATTCGTCTCATCACATCCAGTGTTATCCTGGCCTCCTGCCCACGCTGTCATCCTCAGCTCCTCCAACTCTTGATTTAGGATAGCTACTCCTTTCTCCCTGCTTTTTTTTCTGGCAACCAGATGTTTGTTCTTATGCTCCAGAGGTGCCTGTCCTGTTCTTGCATAGGTAGAATCAACCATACTAGGCTGGAGCATTTACCAGTGGGTGTGCAGTACTGGGTTCATGCACTTTCTGGGAGCTGGAGTGGCTTTTTACTAGTCTGTGTTTTGCTACAGATATGATGAATACCTGAGATCCCTGCAGAAACCTTTACAAGTGCCCCAGAAGCCAACACCCCCACGCCCACCGCTGCCAAACCAGCAGTTTGGAGTCTCGCTCCAGCAGTGAGTATCTGTGGACTGTGTTGCTTTTGCCCTGCCTTGCTTGATGAGAGGTCACTGTATTTATAACAGAACAGCAACAAAAATGGCTGTGAAATTTTTTGCAGTTCAGACTTCCTACAAAACTTTAATCATTTTCCTGAGGAACTCCATGCTCATGTCCAGATCCTGACTGACTCAGTTCAATTCCACTCGCTTGATCCTCAGGTTAGATTGTTTCTGCAGCTAAGGGTCACTAAGGGAAGAGCAAAATAAGGGCCATGGGGACAGCTTTATGGCACTAGAAACTTCCTTTTAAGCATAGCAAGTCTGTAGGAGGCTGATGGAGGTGTGTTTAGGACTGTGCTGTTTTGATTGAGCAGTACTGCAGATCTGTTTCTTAATTTTTTTCCATATCTATTTTAAAAGCACTTCTATTCACCCTTGTACTGAATCCCACTCCCAATTCCTGCACGGTGACACAGGCAAACACAGACACTGGCAAGGGCTAGTGATACTGAGTAAGTGTTGAAGGTATTTTTAACTTTGAGTGTGATTTTGCCTCCCCGAGGAATGAGGAGGAGCCAGTACTGTGTAGCCAGACAGAACCTCCGAGGCAATCTGGGAACACATTCCCCAGCTTCAATACATTTCCAAATGGTCTTTCCCATGGTGCTGTGTGCCTGAGCTTGTTAGTAGCCTCAGAAGGGGGAACAGCTCCATGCTATTGAGTGGCCTGGACAATCGAATGTAAGGGTGGCAGTGAACACCTTGGCATCACTAGGTTTTCCCTGACAGCCATCATGTTGATAAATCTCCTGTCACAGGAGTAGGGTGGCTAAAGTTATTTCTCTCATGTCACCTGCTTTCTGCCCTTGCTCCTATGGGGAAAGAAAAAAGAAGCTTAACCCTTTTCACCTGATTCGTAACTAGCAGCCTTACCTTCTGGGAAACCCTCTGCCCTGGCACCTAGAGGCTATAATTTTTACAGGAGATAGAAAAATGTTCCTGTGGTCTAGTAATGAGCTCATACTTCCTCCATTGAATGATGTAGCATGATGGGTGAAGAGGATAGAAGGCTGAATAATGGCTGAACCAAGGACTGGGATAGCAAGATCCTATGTGGTACAGCTTGTGTGGGCAACTTCAAGACTCGGGGGCTGCATGCAGGGTGCGGAGGACCAGTCATATGTAACCTTTTGTCTCTTGCCACAGTCTCAGGGAGAAGAGCCCTGATCAGTCTCCTATTCCTCTGGTGGCCTGGTCAGCTTTTCTCCTCTCATTTGCCCTGGGAGTCTGTCAGCTCTGGCTTTGGGGAGAGTAGAGGTCAGCTGCTGGGCTGTTCTGTAGGATTCACAATGGTCTCTTTCCTTCTCACATAGGTCTCTGCTCACAGTGACAGAAACAAGATGACAAATGCCAACCTGGCAGTTGTGTTTGGCCCAAATCTGCTGTGGGCCAAAGATGTAGCCATCACTCTAAAAGCCATCAACCCCATCAATACCTTTACCAAATTCCTGCTGGACCACCAGAAGGAGCTGTTTGAGGATGCAGAGGCCTGAATCCAGGCCAGCCCACACCAGCACACTGTGCCCACCTTCCCCCTTCTTTATCTTGGAGCTGTGACCAAGCTGTCTCCAGTACAAAGGGACCATTGATTCTCTGGGTGATGAGCAGAGTGAGGGCTGTGGAGATGGTGGTGAAAGTGTGCAAGTAAGTGTGCAGGAGACCTACAGCTCCGATGAGCAGGGGAGCTGGTCTCCCAGCTGCTGAGTGTGGAGTCGTAACCCACCTGTGCAGCTCCTCCAGGGCTCATCACCAGTCTGCTGCCCTATCAGATGACCTGCCTTCCTTTCTTCCTTCCCCTACATGCAGTTTTTCTGCCCTCCTGGTCCCTTCCTCAGCAAAGGTCTTTTTTGTTTAAGCTCCCCATAGCCCTAGCTCACCTCCCCTGCCTCAGCTGGGCTGCCTGGGCTAGGGCAGGCTTGCTGGGTTTTGTGACATTCTTACTGCGAGTGCCATCTCTCAGCACTAAATGTGCATCCTTGCCTTTCACCAGAGGCACCTAAAGCAGGGAAGGGAGCCAGCAGTCCTTGTGCTTCAGGTAGCAGCATGTCCTGCACTTGCAAACACCACTCTGTACCCCCAGCTTTTGGCAGGCAAGTGAAGAACAGGTTCACAGCAATGGGCTTTATTACCTGTCAGACTCCAAAACAATGAAGGTGAATTTAGCCCAAAGCCCAACCTCTCTGGAGTCACCCACTCCAGATACTATTTAGTGTTTGCTGGTGTAGTGGATAATATGCCTCCCATAGCTACCCAGCTCAGGCATGTTTGTCCTTCCAGCAGCAATTCCGGCCTGGCTGTGTGGAGGTGCTGGCTAGGGCCCTTTGACAGCTGATGAGTCTGAATGGCAGGGAGCAAGTGCCCTGGTGGCCTGTCCCAGCAGCAGCACAAGGCCTCTTCTCCCTCTGGCTTGTGTGTCTGTGCTGACTGGCATGGACCACCTTGAGATGTATTTTTGAGCAGAACTTTCCCCAGCACAATGTAACAGAGAGCATGGCCTTGAGGGAAGGTCTGGGGACTGGGGCCAACCTTCACCCTGGAGTGCACCAGGCCTGGATTACAAACTTCTGCCCAAGTGCTGAGCACTCGTGCCAAAGCTGTGAGGGAACAGCTATTCCATGCCAAGGGCCTTTGCCCTGTCTCCTCAGTTCATATTTTCCTTCCTACCATAAAAGCCTGGTCAGATGCATCCTGTATGCCCTTGGCACAGCTGGAGAGATCAGGTAGCCCACAAGGCAGGCTCAGAGTGGAGTGGTCCTGGCACCATCCCAGAGCAGCTACAATACTGTTATGGCATCGCTGTTGGTTTTGGGTTGCAGCATTACTGTTATCTGAGCTAAAAGAGATCCCTCTCCTTAGCCTGGGTCTCTCAGGGTTTTAGGAGGGAGCTTCTAGCCTTACTTCACTGGTGTGATGTATCTTTATATCTTGTGCCCTGCATGCCTGGGCCAGCCCTCCCTGCTGCATCTGGCCTCAGGGACAAATCTTTTGGACCAAGCAGAACTGGTTTTTAAAAAGCTACTGGATGCTAAATAGAATTTGCTATTTCATAATATTTTAGCCTGCTTATAAATACTGACCAAAGGTTGGTGTCCCTGTTGTAATCAAAATAAGTGACATCTGTCACAGGAATTAAGAAGATTGCTCTTTTTGCTAAACTCTGGAATGGGAACGGGTGCAAACATAGGCAGTTCTGCAAGGCAGCACAGGTCCAGCCAGCTGTCTTGGAGGAGGCACACCAACATGTGGGTGGGAACAGTGAGGAAGAAACTGAGCATTACTAAGACTAGAGCAAGAGATGTTCTAGGATAGGACCGGATCTGATCTATTATAGATACTGGGAGATTTTGCCCTAAGGATGCTACAAGGGACTTCCAAGTCTCTCTTCCAAGAGTAGGAGCCTTCCTTGTTTGGCCAGGATATGAATTGTTTCATCCTGAACAATTCACAGCAGTAACCAAATAAATGTTTTGGAGGTAGAGATAATCTGCTCCTAATCCACCTGTGGTCTCTCCTACAGTAAATTAGCACAGCTGACGTGTTGTGGAGCAGTAATCTCTTGAGGGGGACAGTGTGGAAAGAGGTGTACTTGCCCCAGTGTTTAAGGGGCAAGGCTGCAGAGGCTGAGGGAGCCCAGTTCAGCCCCTCTTTCCCTGCAGGCACCCTGCTCTGTGTAGGCTTTGGTATGGGGAGAGGGAGATTTGTGCTCTGACTGTATCGGCCCCTGATGCTGGCCTCACCTCCATCTCCCTATGGGAAAGGCAAACCCAGCTAACTTCCCCTGCAACAAACAAGCCCAAGCTCAGCAACTTGGAATCAAAGTGCCTGTGTGCTGGGGCATAAGGCCTTGGCCCTATGCGCTCCCTGGGGAAGGTGGCACGTTCCAGCCCTGCAGAGTAGCAAGGACTGTTCCCTGCCTAGTAGCCAGGGGAGCAGTCCTGGAGTAGCTCCTGCCCAGAGGGAGAGCAGGGATTGCTGCTAGTGTCTGAGTTCTGGCTGGAGCTTGGTGGTTTATTTTGGGGTTTTTTTGGATTTTTTTTTTTAGTGAATTCTTGAAATAACATTTCCTTTTTTAGCAAAACAGAGACTGGTGTATCCCCTGCAGGCAGGGATAAAAGCCTGCTCCAGTTCAGTGCCTGGTGGGAGCAGATTTGGAGAGTGTTCAGGAACTGCTACTGCTCATGGTGGGAAAGTGCTTGCAAATCCTGGAAGGGACACAGTGTAAATATCCCCTTTCCTCTGCTGCTCCTTGTGCTGGAGTTGCTGAGGGCTCTGGAGCAGGCACAGTAACCAGAGATGCTTTTGCTTCTGCAATCTGTTCTCCTGAATGCCTTGTATTGAAATATCCCTCCTGTGACTTGAGCAAGGAACTGGCCTGGGCCTGCCTACAGCCTTTGCTGGGTGGGTGGTCACCGGAGCCTGCACCTGCCAAGGCCAGGGGCTTAAATTCCCTCCCCACCTGGTCAGCTTCCTCACACAGGCAGGGTGCTGGCTGGGCTGGGGTTCTCTGCCTTGTATAGGTGGGAGGCAGTATCTGACTAGGTGCTGGTCTGTGTTGGTTTTCTCCTTGCTGTAAGCTGCCCTAGGGTCTCTTCCCTGGCTCTTTCAGGTTAGCTATTAGCCATTTCTCCCTGTGGGGGTATTTGTTCTGCATCAGCCTTCTGCTTTTAGCACCTAGAACATTCCCCTTTGCTAAGCCTCCTGCTGTCTTAATGGCCTTTGATCACTCCTTGGCCCAAGCTATGTATTGGCACCAGAGCTTTTTGGTGGTGCAGGGGATTGGGGGCCATCTGGATGCCTTGTGGCAATGTTTGCTAACTCGAGAGAGAGCTGAGGGCCAGTTTGGTCCCAGTTTCCTCTTTATGCACAGGGGCTCCTGTGTGAAATTTTTGGCTTTGCTTTTGTTGCTGATGTTCCCTGCCTTCTTTTTTGTTAATGTTCGTCAGGTGCAGGCCTGGGGTTTTCACAGTTCAGACTGTTTATATTCTGCTAATCTGCACCAATCTTATATTTCACAGTTTGCACTTTTTGTATTTCAATAAAAATTAAAATGTAATCCCAGATCCAGGTGTGTCTGTCAAGTGGCAGCAGCTGTGGCACATCTACAAGAAACAGAAGTAAGGCTGGCTATGCTGCCAGCCACAACCATGCTGATAGGGAGGAAATAGAGTATGAAATGCCTCCTATGTGAGTAACTCTGGGAAGAAATACTAGTTTGCAGGAGCCTCAGGCTGGAAACAGAGTTCAAACAAAATGAATTATTGTAAAGTTGGTTCTTTCCTGAACAGGGCTGCGCTTCCATGTTACCGTCTCCCTGTCATGATGAACAATCTGCCTAGGATTGCCCTTTCCAAGAGGCAGACCCAGCAGTTGCACAGGTTGTGGTATCACCAGGTGCCAAGTGGGAGCCACCTGCAGGCTTTCCAGTTAGGATTAGCTGGCTAAGTTTATCCTGTGGCCAGGTAATATGTGCAGCACAGGTCTGCACCTTCTCATCTCAGTATATGTGGATTACTAACTCCTCAATGTACAACAGTCTGGTTAGGACCACTGCACTCCACCCCTTGATCACATACAGTTAACTGTCTTTTCCTAGGCCCTCTTAATTTGCTGGTAAATTTACATCAGTAAGTTTTTTTGTTAGAAGCCAAGAATTAGGACTAGAAAAGAGAGTGCTGAAGCTAAAAGCATCAGCATCAGGCAGTAGCCTGAGCGCTGGCTACTGGCCTTGTCAGGATGATGTGTTAATGCTGATGTCAACCTTTACATTTCTAAAAATGTGCTGCTTTTCAGCTTTTATTGTTGATAAACCATTCAATTAAGGGCTTCCCTGTGTTGCCATTTCTCGTTCTGCATGTTGACACTGGCCCCTGTAAATGGGGCCGTGGGGGTTAAATATGCTGACTACATAGTGAGATCACAAACCTCCTGAGTGCAGCAGTTGGTCCAGTTTCTGGGCTTGGTCACGGTGACCTGCCTGTCACTGTGCTGCAGCAACATCTGCTCTGGCCTCAGAGGAGCTGCAGAGCAGGTGCATCTGTCCCTGACAGGGATCTGACATTGGCAGGACCTATGCTAAGTGCAGTCACATGGGCAGTACTGAACGCAGTGTAAACACCACTGCAACTGGACATGTTTTCATGAGTAGCTGCCCTGTGGCCTTATGGATATTATTCTGAGAACATT